CTCTCATACTTGAGGTATACCTATGATGAAAATTACAGGCCTCTCTCATCTTTTTAAGTGGGAGAACTTGCACAATTGGTGGCTGACTAAATACTTTTTTGCCCCACTGTATTTGTCTGTGCATGTATGAAAACAAGAGCTGCATATATTCTGCTTGGAGTCACATGATTAGGAGGGTAGAGACTTAGAATGGAGCAGTCATGAACTGCCTGAGCCACTGCCCAACTGCTCTCCCCATAAGGATGCAGAAGGGGATTGGGAGGGACGTTTTTTTTCACAACTCCCAGCACAATCTGACCCAGTCTGAGGAGGAACTATCCATTTAACTGTCATGCCATCCAGTCCACTCTTAACTAGCTTGTTAATCAAAACATGTGGTGTTTTGCCAAATGCTTTGATAAATCAAGATCGATTACATCTACAGCATTCCCCCAATCTACCAAGGAAGGTACCCAATCAAAATCTAAATAAGGGTAAGCTGGCAAGGCCTGTTCTTGACAAATCCAAGCACAGCATGCAAAACATAAAGAGCAAGAGATTCAGAACAAGAAGTATTTTTTTCACACAGAATGTAATTAAAATATGGAGTCTGTTATTACAAAATGCAGGCCACCCACTTGCATGGCTTTCAACTGAGGGAGGATAAGCTTATCAGTCCCGTCTCCCCGTCACAGGCAGAATGTGTCTTGACAGGAGATGCTGGATAGTATGAGTGAGAGCATGCTACAATATGCATGACTCCTTGTGGCTTTTCCATCAGCATGTGCCTGGCCATTCTAGGAAGCCAAGTGGTTAGTTAGGCGCAATCCAGAGCTGTTGCAATGCTGCTACGAGGGGAATGGTTGTTAAAAAGGAAGCAAGCTGTTACATTCTGCTCCCTGCAAACAAGCTGAGAATGGCCATTGCTTCAAGCCAGCACTAGCTTCCCCACAACATACCTGCCCTCGATTACCGTGATTATGTCATTCAGCTGGATAAGGAGTTTGTCTGGTTCTTCAAAATCTTGCAGAGCCCGCATGTCCGTGGGTTGGGCCTGCGAGAGGAAAAGTAAGGTGAAGGTTTATGGGTGACGTATCTCAACCAAACCACCCTTTTCTGCCTTAGTGGCCTCCAGATCTATTGGGCCTGAACTCCGAGGCTCCCTGGGGACCATCATCAGCCACAGTGGCTGGAAATTCATGAAGCTGCACACTGAGCTTTCCATGGTCCCCCTTAAACTTCTGGAGTATCTCAACAAAAATGTCTAATGTACTGGCATGAAAGATTACTCGTGTGTAGAGGAGTACAGAGAGGTCCTTGGAGAAAATACGTGGCATCCGTTAGTAAAAATGTGAGTTTAGTCTAGGAAAGCAGGGAAGGGTGAGAAAGAAACTCAGGACTGCCCAGCCTTGACTCTCTTTGGCATAAGAGGGAGTGAAGGGGAAATGCTGTCAGGCTTTCAAGATGACCTCTCGGATTCCTTGTGGTATCTATTTCCTGACCTGGCCTACCTCAAAGGGCGGTCACTGTGGTAGTTCTATCCATCCCTCTCATTAGATGGCAACATGCTTAGAAGTGGGGGTGTCGGGGTGTTTACATGACCTTTGCATCAAAAAAGTTATGTGTAAAAGTTGCAAAGCACATACATGTAGGACTTCAATTGCAGCCGCTGTCCTGACTTTTTTAACCCCTACCCCATGGCCATCCCTGCCTAGATGAGGGTTCTAAAACATACAATGTCAGCCTGTTGTTTTCCAGGCTCTTGAAGACCTTCAGGCATTTTAAGCATGTTGAAGAAATTTGGGGAAAAATGTTTGCCACAATGAGCTCAGAACCAAGCGTGCACCAAGACAAAAACAGTTCGTTCTTCTGTGGGATAAACCTGCCTTGGTTTGTATATTGGTGTCTACGTTCCTACATTAAGCCACGATTTGGATCTCTTTTCCAGAAATATGGATATCCAGATGTTCACCAAATCAGTTTTTCCTGGGTTTTGGAGATGCCTGTTTATGCTCAGCCCAAAGCCCAAAAGGACTGCCCACAAAGATCAGAAGTCCAGATTAAACTCTGGCCCATGAACCTGACTTGCATAAAAACATAAAAACACTGCAAAGATGGTTTGTTGTTTTTAAGAGGAACGGATGACACAGCATGACGCCGAGCCAGCTCTTCATTTCTGCCCTACAAAGGACATGGGCTCCACATCCCCCAGAGATCTTTTGGCATTGGTGTACATGCGCTGCACCCTTCATCCTGGCTGCCGCCATGCCATCCTCTGCCCAACCAATACCTCCAAGAGGAAATCCCGCAGCGCCACAAAGGTGGGTCGATCTTCTGGTTTGTGTGCCCAGCACTGCAACATCACGTTGTAAATATCCTGGGGACAATCTTCCGGCCGGGCCAGCTGTTCGCCTTCCTTATCGATCTTGTGCAAAATCTACCAAAAGAAAGCAGAGTTCAGGAGACCCAGCCAGGCCTGGCCGGCGGCGTTTCAGTGAGGAGGCTGCCGGATCTCGCCTGCAACCATGTGGAGACCATTCAGTGGCACCGAGAAAGGGTTTATTTATGAAATCTACAGGCGCCCCAATCCGTTGCGACTGAGTGGCTTACAAAATGCAACAATAAAAAATACAGAATATTAATCCAGGAAGACCCCCCCCCAACAATCACGTTAAAAACTGGAACATCGCACAAGGGACAGAGCCAGGTTTTAAGGGCTCGTTTAAATAGGGCCAAGGTGGGGGGCTCATACAAATGTCCAACCAGGCCCTATACCGTGTAGGACAGTGTTTCTCAACTGTGGCCACTTGAAGATGTGTGGACTTCAACTCCCAGAATTCCCCAGCCAGCAAGGCTGGCTGGGGAATTCTGGGAATTGAAGTCCACACATCTTCAAGTGGCCAAGGTTGAGAAACACTGGTGTAGGGCTTTATAGGTGATAACCAGGACCTTGATTTGTACCTGGAAGCCAACTGGGAACCAGTGCAACTCACAGAGCAGAGGTTTAACATCAGCATGCCCATTACTGCTCGTACCACCCCATGCTAGACCAGCTGTAGCATCCAAGTGGGCCTCTGTGGCAGCCCCATATAGTCCACAAGGGGGTGAATGAAGCATGAGTGACCGTCTTACAGGCCTCCCTGTCTCACCGTGCGCACAGCTGGCACATGAGATCAATTGGTGCAATGGCCCTCTCAGCCCCAGCTGCCAGCCTCCCTACCCCACCCCTCCCCCTGCTCCTCCTCCTCCTCTCTGTGTCTTTCTGTTGCCAACAACGGTTATCTAGGTTTCTGCAGCCCAGGCCTGGTACCCCTACCCAGTAGTGAGAACTAGAAACTTGGAAACCACCCAAAGAGCAAGGTGCCTCACAAAGCTTGCTCGCTGAGAGCAAAGACACGTTGTTAAATGAGTAAAGCACCAACAACTATTTGCCCTTATGGAAGTCCTAGTTTTAAATTGCCCTACACACCCTGCTTTTGTGGTTGTACCTGACTGCCGTTTAGGCCAACCCACGGCTCCTGTCCGTAAGTGAACATCTCCCAGAGGGTTACACCAAACATCCAGGTGTCGCTGGCGTGGGAGAAGGTGCGGGTCTTCAGACTCTCTGGGGCACACCTGATCCGTGGCAAGGGGGCAGCCGGGGGAGAGAAAACAGAAAGAGATGTGGCCACGCCCTGGAGATCCCAGGCTGTCAGCCTTACTAGGTAGACCAGACAGGAAACACGACCCGATGAGCTAATTCTACTTTATTGCAAGTCTACGTTAACTGAACCTTGCAAGTCTGAAAGTATAATTCTCCCCCGTCTCCTTTACAGCCCGAGAAACTAGGGAGGGTCCCTCTGAGCCTCTTGCCCCGCCCACTATCCAGCTGGGGGCTGTTCCATCCCTTATCTGTCCCTTCCCTTGGCAGCGTCTCTTGGCCCTGTCTCTTTCCCACATACCATTACACAAGCCCCGTGGCTCTTAAGCACAGCCGAACCCGTGATCTGCTCCCAGGGTCAACCAAGAGTGGAGCCCTTCTGAACCCCATCAGCCTCTTAGCTGCATGCTGCTGGGAAGCGCATCTTGAATGCTGAACCCGGTCAGTTAAGGAGCAACGGGTGCATGTTCAGAATCAGTCGCGCTTGATTGCATTTGGTCGTAGGGAGGCGGCACGCTGCATTAGGTGGAGCGTGCTGGGCTACCAAGCCCAAATTCTGCATCCTGAATGAAGCTGCAGCGGATTGCAATCGACAGCTTCTCATCAGCTGGTCGCTGGGTCAACGGGGGGTGCCTGGCACACTTGGGTCTGTTTTGTGGTTGCATGTCAGGTAAGCCCAGCTTTTTATTCAGCTGACAATCAGTGCAGGGGTATGCATGGGGTGTGTGTCAAAAAAATCAAGATGGCTCCTGGGGCTACATGACCAAAGCCCCCCTTTTTACATGTGTTGCATGGACAAGGCACGTAAAAAAGCACGGCTTTGATGCGGTGGGGTGGCTGCATCTTGACTTTTTTGATTCTCCAGCGCACTTGCGGACCCAGAAAGTGGGTTAACAGGTTCAGCACGCGGTGTGAACGCAGCCCCGTGTCCTTTGCAACAGAGAGAAAGAGCCTCACCAGGCGAAGGGGACTTTGCGGTGCTCCTGCATGATGTAATGGTCATTGTTCTTGGGCAAGGCCCGCATGAGCCCAAAATCGCCAATCTTGACCAGGTCGCGGGCAGCCAGAAGGATGTTTCGAGCGGCCAGGTCCCGGTGGATGAAGCGCTTGGACTCCAGGTAGGCCATGCCGCGGGCGATCTGGATGGCGTACTGGCAGAGTGTGGCAATCAGGAAACGGCCCAGGTTCTTGCGAAGACAGTCCAGCAGCGAGCCGAGCGGGGCCAGCTCGGTCACCTAAGCGGCACGCGCAAGAACCAGGGTTAATTCTAGTACCCCCCCCCCGAGTTAAAAGAAAACACGTTCACTGGACAGACCACGCATATAGCCATTACTCACTCACCCATTAAATAATCAATTACAATTGCAGGCTTTCTCGGAACGGAAGGACTCCCAAACAGGCTGGACTCTCATAACTCTCATTCCTCGATCAGGAGGCCCTCCGCCTGGTCACTCATGCACTGCTCACCCCCTGGTTGGATTACTGCAATGCGCTCTACATGGGGCTACCCTTGAAGAGTATCCGGAAGCTACAGCTGGTGCAGAATGGGGTGGCATGGACAGTTCTGAATGTCCCTAAGGGGCACACGTAACACTGTGATATGCGAGCTGCATTGGTTGCCAGTTTGCTCCCGGGTCCAATTCAAGGTGTTGGTCACCACCTTTAAAGCCCTTCATGGCACAGGGCCAGATTATCTGAGGAGCTGTCTCGCCCGTTATATCTGCCCACCCCACTTGGGCTGGCAGAAGGGGCATGTGGCAGACCCCACCAGTCAAGGAATTTTGACTGGTGGGATCTGGGAAGAGGGCCTTTTCTGCTGTGGCCCCCACTCTGTGGGGCTCGCATCAGTGGATGTGGCTTGTGGGGTAATTGATTTTACCCCCCATCATCTTGAATGC